TGAATTTCCTTGTTCATTTCTGATAGTTCAAGTATTCTCACGAAGCTTGTTAATTCAGACTCAACGGGATTTAACCCACTTCACGTCACCACAACCCATTCACAAGAAGCAGACAATCGACTACATACCTGAAAGACTTCATTCATAAATCGATTAAATTTCTTTATTTTCCCGGTCTCAAAATTCATTTCCGTCTTCGGAAAATCTCGTTATCTGACCCTGATCCGACTGAGATTTTACAACACATTTTTTAAAGAGCTGCAGTATTTTAATAACACGCCCCTATCTCTGCGTACATTTCCTGAGTGTTCGTTCCATTTTCGCAACCAAAATGTACTAATGCAATCCGTCCTGATATCGTCAACCCCTACAGACCTTAACGACGTTCCACCTAAAAACAAAGAAGTGACTGGTATACCGGAGGCAACAGGCTCAGACCTTGACCCTGAAACCGGCGATTTCATCAGTCCCTCCAGGCAAGTGTTGTGACAGTATTTTAAATTAGGCCACTACCACTTCCTTCCACAAGCTTTCAAATTCTTAATTCATTAATCGTCCTGCTATTTAACGCTATTATATTCTGAATTATTGACAGCATCGTTAGATAAACCACAAATTAATTAAATAATAAATTATTTCACAAGTTTCCTTTATTTTATGTTATATCTAGAATTTTTAATAAAATTTTCCCTGTGAGTGTCAAACGTCATGCCATTTTCAAAGTCACTGATTTAAAATTCCTAACAGTATAATGTTAAGCGTACAAAAATATGATTCTTCCTTAAGTACTTTCTGCTAGGTGCACACACTATGCCCAGAACTTTGCTTACAAATACCTCTCAAGTCCGTTTTTTAACTTATTTCTTTACGTCATGACACAGCATGCTAGTTTATGACGAAGCACAGTGCTAAAGTTGAGCCGTGGGTCCTTCTTAACTTAACCATATTTAAGTCCTTTTTCTAAGTACACTTGACTACACGCCTTTGACTTAATGTTCTGATGTTGGGAGAGTCAGGTTAAATTTTCTCTTGTTATAGTAATTTTCTCTTTCAGTTGCATTCCACGGTTAATCTCAGTGTAATTACTAGCCATAACGCCCACAGTTATCATGTCTTATCCCTCAGTTCCAGGTAGCATTGAACTGATTCAGTGTGTTTGGATCGCTAAGCAACCAGCTCACAACCACAGTTTACCAGTGTGAAAAGTGACGCTCTGTAAAAATTACATTGGAATTCATTTTGAGTGTATTACTATCACTGCGAAGTATTCGTGTTAACCGTGTTAGCCCGGCTAACACTATAAGAAATACGAGGCGCGTTCTCAAAGTAAGTTTCCCACTCGTCCCACAGCTAGCAAACCTTATATTGCGCGAAGCGACTGTGCGTACGTGATAGAGCAATGACGTAGCATGGCGCATGCACTAACGGAACTTCCCGCGTTCTCACAGTAGCATCGTTGCAGCTGTTGAAGATGGAGGTTCTTATTCCAGCTCCCGCCGACTGTGAAGTGCGGTCAGTGATAACGCTAGGCCGCACACGGCTCGACGGACAGCAAGTCTCCTGCAGGAGTTCAGCTGGGAGGTGTTTGATCATTCACCCTACAGCCCGGACCTCGTTCCCAGTGATTTCCATCTTTTCCTACCCCTCAAGAAATTCCTGTCCGGTCAGCGTTTTGAGAATGACAGAGAGGCGGAGATGGTTGTCACACAGTGGTTCCAATCCCAGGCGGCAGACTTCTACGACCCAGGTATTCAAAAGTTGGTCCCACGGTATGACCAATGTCTCAATTCCGGTGGCGAATATGTTGAAAAATAGCTGGACACTTGCTGTATCTGTTGCAATAAATATTTCCATGAAATTGTGTTTTGTTTCTGTAAACGGCCCCAGGGAAACTTACTTTGAGGACGCGCCTCGTATTCATTATCTCCGTCATTATTATTCTCAGAACGAACACAGAGTAAAGGCATTACAAACAATGAACTGAGGAGAAATATGGACCTAAAGAAGATATAGAGAGGGGGAGGATGGAGAAAATTGCATAATGAGGAAGTTCATAATTTGTACTCTTAACCAAGTATTATTAGGGTCATCAGATTAAGAAATACGTGGGTGGGTGGGACACGTATTATGATGAGAATTATGTACAAGATTTTTAGTACGAAGACCTGAAGAAAACTTGAGAGACATTAACATAAATTATATAATGATATTAAGACGGATCTTCAAAGAAAAGTTTGGAGGTTTGGAATGGACTAAGCAAGTTCGAGACAGGATAGAACGGCGAAATCTTCTGAAATAGGTAATTAATTTTCTGTTCCCATACAAGATGAAGGACTGCATAATTAGCTGAGCGACTGTTAGCTTATCAGAAATTGCTCTGATCGATTCTTTATTACTCTTACAATTTTGGGTTGAGTACGTACTGAAACACAACGGAGGAGAGACAGATTTTTATCCTCCAGCCCCTGGTCCACGCAACCTCCTACTCAGAAGCCTCTCAACTTCTTCCGTGAGATAAAGGCGGACGGAGAGTGAAACTCCTTACCATAATCAACCGAGTTCTGGGATAAATGGAATTTCATGACCACACAGCTCTAATATATGCTGATTAGCTACAGTATTACATTCCTTGTTACTTTAATGTTATGGCTGTAATTACAATCATCATCATCATAATCACCAATCTTATTGTTTTATGTTCTTTAAGGTCTAGCGTAAGCGAATGAAAACCTGAAGTTGGTGTCTGTCTGTCTGTTTGTCTATCGCGTTTCAAACAATGGGCCCAGAGGTCATTTTCCTTCTTATTCTTATTATTATCGCAAATCTTACTGTAAATATTCTCACCGCTGCTACACGTTCTTTGCATAAAGTATCAGAAATGTTGAATCTCGGAAATTAATGTACGGTATTTACGAATTTTTTTTAACTTTCGGATTTTGAAATTTCTATGATCTTTTTTAAAATTCGGAATCGTGAGATTTTACAAACATTTAAAATATACGTATTGGAATGTTTGTCATTTTAAGATCTGAAGTTCGAGGAACGTTCGGTTGGGTTACTTTACGTCAGCTCAGGTGGAGGTCGTATTTAGTTGAATTAGTTAATTCCTGGGTTGGTTTGTGGCCCCCGGAACATCGCGTGAGTTGGTCAGTACAAGTCTGCAGACATCCACGAATTAAGGGCAAGTACCGATCGCCAGCACGGTGCCGGGGTATGGGGGTGGAAAATATGAAATTCACAGGCAATGCTTGGAATGTAATGCAATTACATGACTTGATGCGTAAGGATCTTGTGACCATAAGGAGAACAAGGCATAAATACTTAAACCTGAACATCGATTTACTCTAATCCGACAGGCTTCTTGGAAGCGGAAATTCGAGGAAACGATTCTGATGAGTTGCTGAATGGACTTCCAGGCTTTGAAGCAGATTAAAGAACTATTTTATCATCGTCCTTGATCCCATAATGCATTAGTAAGTTACATCAGGAGACAAAGAATAATCTCCTCTTATTATGCACAAAATATTTTATTGTCGTGTTTGCAAATCGTTACAGGACGATTTTTCAACCACATTATATTTCTCCGGTGCACAAGAAATCGTACGGAAACATGCTGAAAAATACGTTAATCATCGCAAGAACTTGATAGTGATGTTAATAAGATAATAATACAAACCCTTTCCACGTTAACGGCACAACCGATTTCATGGAAATCCCGTCTACGTTAACAGCAAAACGCGTTCCTGGAAATCACGTGGTAAATCGGATTATGGTTTTTATACGCACATTACATTATAAATGGAGCCTACGTGGTTCACCGCAGACTGGAAACAGAGTTACGTACAAGAGACGCTACAAACAGTTCCATTTGACTTTATAAAATGGCATACGCAAAGCGTGAAAACATCTTCACAAGAAGCATTCATAGCCAAATTGTAGGTAGTATACCGAAATTTACCTAGAAGTAGTGAGGAAAATATTGACAACTCTAAACCATTACAGCAGGTCTTCAAGCCGAGATTTGAACCTCGGATCTCCCGAACGCGAAACAGGAATACAATAGGTTCGTTTCAGCAATCCTATTTCTATTTTCCCTTCTCAGACTCAATTATATAATAGGACGTAGGTTATTGCAAAATCGTAATTCAGAGTGGGGTCGTCCTAAGAATTCTGATAACAAAAGATAACTCAGTAAATGTACTTTGGATTCATCATCTTACACCAAATACCGGCATGCTCGTTTTCCTGGCAGTGTGTCTGATTTGGTTTTCAGTTTATTCAATTTTGTCCTACCTAAGATAACACGGTATGTGCCCTTTTAACGTTCGAATTTGAACACCAAATTCCACGAACGTTGGACAAAAACGTATTCTTCTTGTCTAAAATCGGCAAAATTCCGACATACACAAAACGTTAAAAAGTTTATACCATATTTGTAAATAATATTTGGCCAACATCAGGGAAATGCATAAAACTGTCATTTTAGGATCTTCATACATCATTCGAATGACGTCGTAAAATAGTCATCTCTAACACTAAAACTATATAATACATGTAACATGTATTACAAACAAAATGTATTTCGGAAATAGCTGCTGCACTACGTACCTTAGGGGCAAGGTTTGTCTCGGGTACATAGAAGTAAATACACTGTAAAATGGTGAATAGATGGAATAATAATAAACTGCTTCATAAAGCTTGTTGTTGCTGAGAGGTTTAAAGAGACAAATCGGACACCATCTGAACATAAGAAAATACCACTTAACTGAATACAAATAAAGTATTAGAGAAAATAAAGAAACAAATTTTAATTTACATGCATTTAAATGACGTATTTCACTACCATGACCTTTAGTACCAGAGAACAATACAAAAAAACTATTATAATGTTAAAATACTCTCTAATCTAAAATATGGTTCATATTAGTGAGTTATAACCACAAACTACTACCAACAACCAAAATTAAAACATTCTGAAAATAGTGCATTTGTGAACTCACCCTCCTGGTTGATCCCGTGCCCGCCTTCCTCTACAAAAGGAAGAGAAACAAAAGACTGATAGAGAAAAATCTCCTTCATGCAGCAAACGCAATTCAAAGTATTTTCGTGTGCACAGCATTCGAAAGCGGTGCAATCTATGTACAGTAAGTGTACTAACTATAGCGTGAGAAATCACATGAAAACCACACATAATGGAAAAGTTACTGGCCATAAGCTGCATTTCGCTTTGCTCGTTTCAAAATTTACGTAATCACTTTCTATTATTTTACTTGCTTTAATTAAAAGACGTCGCACATTCTTAATGACAAAGACACTAACAAGACTGACGGCTCACCTCGATTAACAAACTAACAAAATTTAAGACCTAATTAGACACCTGTCTTGTTAGCGACCCACAAACTAGATAAGTAGTTTAGCTGGCTGGCTGTAGATAACTGGGTATCTGATAAGTTATACGGGGTTCGAGGGTTTTACAGCGAACAAGGCTTTGTAAACGGTTACGTACGTTTCGGAGAAAACTAACGATTCCATTTTCCGTCCTGAAGAATGTTTTTCCGAAAAGTTAGTACACACTAAGAGACTACCAGGTGATAAAAAAAGAAACCTGAACTAGGTATTTTGTTTAATGAAAAATTAACTTAATGTGTTTTCTACGCACCTGACTGAATAAACCAGCCAGCTAATTAACTAGTATTTTTTTAAACGATCATAGCATAAATATCAGTTATTCACCTCACAAATCCTTTCTGTTATGGAACCAGCATAACAAGTTTATCTGCATTGTAACAAGTTTAGATATACGAGTAATTATTTACAGAAAATTTCTCTATACTTACTGCCCCAAAAGTCACTCAACCCTAGGAGATAAATGTTTTGTTAGTGTGGCAGGGAATTTCAATTTTTTCTGTAATTACTGGCAGCACTGGACTCCTGCGACCAGTTTCCCCGTCTTCCTTGTTCTTTAGCCAACTGTTTGCATAACAACCATCAAGTCATTTCCGACAATGCAGTGTGTGTTCATTACTGAAGATTATTTTCGAACAAACTCACATTAAACAAACAGGCAACCCGTTATAATTTCCTTAGGCTACTGTACCAAATAAGTCAACAAAGTTTTCGATCTCTTACTGTCGTCAATTTTTAAGTGATTGTAAGAATGTGTTAGAATGGATTGAGTTAAATCCATAATAGACTGCGAGACGTTTAAAAAATATATTATTATATCACGTAATTATAATTTTTTTTTCAAATTTTGGTTTTGTGTATTTTGGGGCATTCCATATGTGATCCATTATGTATAAATACTTTATTTGAAATACAATATAAATTTAGGCCACAGTCAGTAGGAGATTACTTATATAAGAAGAATATTTCGTTAAAATTATATTTATAGCTGACTAACCTATTAACTATTAACAATTTATTCCGTTATTATAATTTAATATAAACATATTATTAACGATGAGTGTATAAACTATCATAGTGGAGCAAACATCTGGTTTCAAGTTATTCTATAATTAAAGGTTTCTCGAGAAAAATAATTTTCAGGTTTTGAATTCTAGCACTCGCCATTAATAACTTTATGAGAGAATTTTTATGTTTTCATTTCTCCCATTATGAGTGATTTTCTCTTCAACCACAATTATAAGGATAACACTAATTACATATTGATAATACTAATAACTAGTAATTGTAATGAATCATAATTTAAGGCAGTTTTATTACTTGAAATAACATATTTATCTGCGTATGGAGAGAGATAATGAATGAACAGATCAGATCAGTCAGAATATATGCCACAGAATCCATCCCAGATTCTGGGCTACATCAGAACAATTTCTATACTTCTAAAAACAATATTGTGAACAAACTAACAGAGCTACAAATAATACATTAAATTCAATGGAAACACTTAGTAAAAAAAATTAACTTGTTACAGATTAATAAAACGCTATCAAATGTTTCATGTACAATTAATAAAATAAAGTTAAGCTTGGCAAAATGTGGGTCCATAAACTATTAAAATCCACAACTTTTAGCCTGACTAAAACGTTTAAGGCTTGTCATATATGTAACAAAAACAAAAATTATTTATTTACAAACACAGTGATTGAAAAGTCACGCAACCAAAATTAAAATATTTATTTATGGTTGCAATTCAACACAGTTCGATTTGACTAATAAATACACAATACCACTGTGACTATACAAGAACCCCACTCCAGTCACGTCATGTTGTAACCTGCTCGGACAAGTCCGTCTGTTGTCTTTTAACAGTCGAAACAACAAGGATGTCTTTTTCACAAATGTAACGAGTGTTCATTGTCAGTGTAATTGGCATTCTTACTTACTAAATGAGTTTCAAATACGTTTCCCGATTCTCCTGTACCG